TCAACGTCACCGCACAACACATCCACACAACAACACACGTCTTCATCATTGCATTCAATGCCAATAATGTTGTCAACAAATAAACAGATTGTTATTGAGAAGCCATTAATCCATTCATTCATTCATTCATTACTTATGCAAAGCAAACATCACTCAAAAAAATGTTAGCACTTTGAAGTGTAAAAGTCAGTACATTTCACACTTTAAAGTGTGAAATGTACGTAATTCTCACAATTCATCCCAATTTCTCATAAAGTGTATCGAAATTTATGTGATTTGTATAACTTTAAAGTACAAAAGTACCTTTGTACTTTAAAATAATAATTAATAGTCATTTCAAAATGATAAAATATTTGCACTTTAAAGTGTAAAATATGAATGAATAGGATTGTAAGCACATATGAAATATCAATGTCACATTAGCTCAGTCAGTAGTGTCGCTGACTCAATAGTAATAGGCCTTGAGTTCGAGTCACCCTGTGTACATTATTTGTAACAATTATAGATGATAAATTTTAATATGACAAATGTGAAAAAACAGCTTTCCCTGTACTAATGTATAATGCTCGTAATGTATACCAGAGGGGGAGTTTTTTCACATTTATCATATTAAAATTTATCATCTATAATTGTAATATACTTTTATTTTTTTTCAATAATTCCCACTCTTTCTCACTCTAGAGTGTAAAATGTTGTGCACTCTATAGTGATGTAAAGTTCCCTCTTTAGAGTGTAAAAAAAGTCCGTTCTTTTGTCACTCTATAATGTAATTTTGTTTGAGTGATGAAATGGACTTTTCGTCCAAACATTCACTCAATGTTTGATTGTTTTTCATTAATAAACGATTGTTTTTCTTTCCTTTAATACTCGCTTTAATTGTTATCAAACTTTGAATACTTTTTTTTGTTAATTTACTTAAATTTAAAACAATTTATAATTACTTTTATAAGTTTTTTCGGAGAATTTGATGAAAAAAGCCGTAAAGACCTCTATATATAGGGAAAAGTGAATCACTTTTACTGAATGATTGACGTATTGTTTCAACGATTGATTTCTTGTTGTATTTAACCATCAATTGATTGATAATTAATTATAACTTAGTTTTTGTCATATTTTATGCCTTAATATGAGTTCAGAGACAATGTTTTGGTTCAGAGGAAGTGTTAACGAAGCGATCAATAAGTCGAGGGCTGAGAGGAAATTGTTTGTCGTTTTCATCAATGGTTTGCAAATTAATTGATTATTGATTTCTAACTTTAAAATCAAACGCTTTTTAAAATGTGTTTTAAATGTCAGGAACTGATGACATCTCCGCCAAAATGAATGGTCTCTACGAAAGCCTTTCCCAGAAGTTGTGTGAACTGCCGTTAATAGCCATCAAACTCGAGGCACAATCAGATAATTGCAATCTTTTCTCTCAAATATGTAAGTATAATGTGTTTGTCATTCACTTTATGAGGACTTGAATTGACCTCTTGTCTCGTGTCAACAGATCCAGTGATTGTGATTCCGAGTACTTATTTCATTGACTCGAATGGCGTTGCGATCGAAATAATCGGCGGCTCTGTTGACGACCAAAACGTTTTGTTGCAGAGAATTCACAAAACAATCGATATTTACAATCAGAGCCTATCTTCGAGTGTAACTCAAAATACGACACAATCTAATGATAATGAGAGAGTGAAGAGCGAACCCGTGGCCAACACTCGTGAGCCAACGCCAGAATCTCCTTCAGTGCCGGCGACTGCTTCCTCGTCTTCAGCCGTCGCTAGTGTTGAGTCTGAGAGGCCGTCGTTGGACTCAAAGGTCGAGAGAGCGAACCAATTGATTGAAGCGATTCGACAAAAGAAAGCTAAAGAAGAGGAAGAAAGAGAAAAAGCCGATGAAATTGAGAGACGAAAGGGTATGAAAGAAATGTTATCAGCAAAGCGTTTGCGAGAAGACAAGGAAAAGATGGATATTGTGAAGGAAAGGGAACGCGAGAAGAGAGCAGAAAAGTTGGCGCGAGAGAGGGTTTTGGCACAAATCGCTGCCGACAGAGAGGACCGCAAAGCGCGACAAATGACTTTCACTGACAGCACTGAAAGCAAAGCAACGGAACCAAACGATGCGAACCCTTCACAGTCTTCTCCAAAAGAACCAGAAGTTCGTCAAAGAATGGACAAAACGGCTCGCATTCAGTTCAGACTTCCCGACGGCTCGACTAGAAATAATGTGTTCGAAGCGACTGATAATCTGGAAGTTGTCAAACAATACGTGTCCTCCAATCTAAACATTAAGGGCTTTACTCTTTCCACTTCATACCCTCGAAGAGAGTTCGGAACCAATGATTACAACCAATCCCTACGAGATCTGTCTTTGTCTCCCTCGTCGGTCTTACTAGTGGTCCCTAACTCTGGAATCATTAGTTCGCGAGCACTCACTTCACAGTCATATATCTGGCAAATACTAACATATCTAATGAGTCCACTTGTGATGGTCTGGAATTTTGTGACTAATTTTTTTGGATCTAATTCTAATGACACAAATGAAAGGCCCGGACCAAGCAATCCAAGAGACGATCCCAAAGGAAGGCCTAAACAGTTTTACAATAAAGACGGAAATGTCGCCCGAATGAGGGATACCAACAAAGACGACGATTCCGATGACAACAACACATATAATGGAAACTCAACGCAACAAATGTGAAGACTCTGTGACTGTTTGTCACAAGTATTTGCAGTCAGAATTGAGTTCATTGTTATTATTATTACATTATATTTGTATTAATTAGAAAACAGCAAAGAATTGAAATTTACTTTAATTTTAAAGAACCGGTATTTTTAAAACTTTTTT